AAAAAAACAGTGCTCCGCCAGAGGCAGTGATTTCATCTTCTCCTGATCAACTTCAAGTTATTGACACTATTGATCATCTAAAGGATACCCTCGAATACGTCACTATTCTCGCAGACAATATGACAACCATTCACCCGTCTTTGGAACCTTCTATCGTGGGTGAGAGAGATATTCTTCAGACTCCACTTGCCCTAGAACCTATCACTTATATTACAGGTGACAATACTTCTGCTGCTTCACTACCGCCTTATCAGGTCGAGCAAGCTGTAAATGTACTCAGGCTCATAGGGATCATGATGTGCAACAATCTACACCTGTCCGACCAACTTTGGAACAATCTATTGATCAAATGAGTCAATCATCGGATGAGGAATGACAAGTCTACACATTCAGGAGGAAGAAGAAGAATGAAGACCTACTTGAGCTTAGGAATCTGATGAATGATATTTTGGTTACTTCGGGCAATGATACTCACCTTACCAATTTGTTAGCCGACTCAATTTCAAGAACTAGAGGTAGAGGGAGGACTAAAATAAGACGTCCCTAGTACTTTTGCGCCCTTTAGTGGTTATTTGATTTTTTTATCTTTTTGTATCTTTGCTTTATTTGAGATTTGTGTTTGTTGTATTGTCGGAGTTGAAATTTCTTTTAGGCCTTCTCATACAATATTTCTGTATCTTTTTCACTTTAATATATTAGCCCCTGGGCTTTATATATATATATATATATATATATATATATATCTGTGTGTGTGTGTCTGTGTGTATGTATGAATCACATTCCTAAAATGAAGGACTTCAATGCTGCTAATTTATTCAAATAACTTTTGAATCAAAATTTTCACTAATTCTACTCATGAAAAGTTAAAATCTTTCTAATGACATATAAATAAAAACAAGACATATAATAAATAAATAAATCCTTACCTTAAAAGGTTTGTTTTGCTTACTGTGCACAAGATTCTTCTATCTGTCTTACAATTCTATTTGATTCAGCTTCTAATCTTTGACGAATGAGTAGACGTTCTTGTAGCCATCATGAAGTGCACCCTATCATACTGTCTTAGTCGACCCAATAAAAAGTGACAAATATTCATAGGCATTATGTCACACCATACATGTTTTTTTGGCTTGTCTCCATTATAAAAATTCAGTTGGTACCATTATCTCAACACTAATTTTATTCATTTTCTTCAACTAAGTTAGAGAGTATGTTGGATGTTGGAATTCTTTTTGAAGAATGAGTCTCGATTTTTTCACCATTATAGACACCACATTCTTACAAATTCCTCTATCATTAATGAGGTTGCACGCATTTTCATTCACAATGCAATGATTATGAAATATTTTATGTTGATGCCACTATTGCTCTTTAGGTTTGGTTTGTAGAATTTTTTGAACTACAAGCTTTCCCATATCATTAGCATGGAGTTGATATTCATCCTCATTTCATTCTCTCTTGAATTTCCACTCACTATCAGCTTTTTTAATGGCTGCATGCTCAGTTGAGAAAATCACCCTATTTGGACAATTGGAGTCAATGTGTTTGAAGCTATGAATTTGAAGTAATTTATACATGGGAACATTTTAGGAGTATTGCCCCAATCACTCTTTTCACCTTCCTATGTTGATTTCTCACGAGGGGCCGGCTTGGGCCCTTTAGGAGAAGTGCTTCTGCTGCTTGATCACTTCATGTTTGATTCTCTTTTAAAGGTTGGAGTGGACCTGATGTTGCTTGTTGCTTATCCTTCTTCAAGAGTAAGATTTTTACATCAAATATGGTCTAGGTGGGCTAGAATTGTACCACATTGCTAATGAAAGGCCTCAGATCTCCAAGACATTGTGCCAGTGTTCTCTTTTGACTCTACTAACTCATCTTTCAACACAAGCTACACTATTGTGGTATGCTCCACTAATAATTTTTTTTTTTGTAGTAGATGGTTAAATCTCAAGAAACATCATGCTGATAGCCCGCTTAAAGATAATTTTGATTTGTCTTTTAATTTTGGACTATTTTATGATTTTTCTTTTTCCTTTATGTTGGTGTATGTGCTCCCACCACAGATAAACACTTCTTTTTTAATTTAAGAGTATCTAACTTCATTTGTTTGATGGAATATCTTTGCTTTATGGTTTTCACGTTTTCAATGAATTCATTTGGGTCTATATGACTATCAAAATTTATTTGACTATCATAATTTGATAAATCAACGTTCACTCTGGTCATCCTCCCTTCTTGTATACTCAATGCCAAATTGACGAAGTTACTTAATGTTTTTGATGGAAGGTTTTTTTGTATCTTCTCTATTTGGTTGGTCACCATTGTGACTATTAGTGACTTCAATATGTTATTTTCTTTCAAAATCGGCGAACATATGATGTGATTGAGATATTTCTCATTGTATGTTCTCTATGGTGAGCTCCTGAACACTTATTTGAGGATGCTTCTTGGCGGCATGATTATTTGGCCCCAACTAGGGTTTGTGCTGAGGTGAGGAGGGTGATTCTTGAAGTTGGCCGAAGGTGAGAGGGCCAAGTTTATGGGTTGATGGTGGGTATTTGTGTAGGCAAAGGGATTAAACTATGTGGATTTGAGGTTTGTAAATGAGATTATTGGATCTTTAAAGATTTATGGTTTTTATGATTATGGCACCAATGACATCAATCTAAGATTTTTATATGATGTATAAGAATTGATTAAGGATTAATATTGTGATAAAATTTTAGAAAAATGGAAATAATATTAGGAACAAAATCAATTGGAGAGAGATAATATGGTGGCGATTGCTGTTTTGGGGGCAAAATAGCGAGAAAAAAGCGAGTCAATAACTAGAATGGGGAATGTACGATTGTCAAGGGTGATCCACCATTTATTCTTGATCAAGTGACATTCACATCACTTGAGGGATAAGATTATACAATACTCTAAAGGGGTTAAAATTAGAGAAAGCAATCATCGATAGTATAAAAATTAAATCAAAGCATTAATATATTTCAAAGCAAAGTATTTATTTTAAAGAAGCGAAACAACTGTAATTCACCTCTAAATATGGTGAATAGGCCTTAAGGGGGGCTAGCTTGCCCTATCGGGCTAAATTCTTGGATTGGCCAGGATACATACTAGTCTGGCCCAGTTCTGTTGCCGTGTCTTCATTCTCTACGGACATATGCATCTCAAGCGAATGTTAGCGTGGGTTACCCATGACAAAATAAAAATGATATAAATTTGGGTTATATATTATCATTCAATGAAAATATTATTATTAAAACAAGATACATATAATATTTCTAGAGAACTCACCAATGAATCTTACTAGGAGAAAGCCACGAAGCTTCACATTTTATTACATAAAAGCAAAATCATATTATTTCATCCTATTGTGATTTTCTAATACAACTCACATCATATTTATAAGCATTAAAATACTCATTATTGCATATTTTGAAAAGAAAAAATATTTATGAGACATTTACATACCTAGCACTTGAAACATGGCTATTTAAAAATCTAGCACCCTCATTCATCCATTTTTAAAATTTTCATTCAAATATGAAAATTCACGATAAAACCCAACCCATATTTTTCAATTTTATCGAATTCTTTTTGATCGTGGCAATATTAAATGCATCTGTTCGGTAGTTCAAAAAAATGAATTGGGACTTTTGTAAATAAAAAAGTTTGAGCTCTATGCATATAATTACCAAAAGTTTAAATCTTCACCATTTGATTACATAATTGATGGTGGGGAGGGGGTGGGGTGGGATTGTTGTTGGGGAGAACATGTTCTCAACCTTTTATTAGAAATAGACCCTAATTTTTTTAATGATCATATCTTTCTTTATTACTCTAATTGAATGTAATGATGGTACAATTTTAAAAGAAAAACCTTTCTATATTTGAATAAAAATTGAAGTTGGCTTCTTCTGAAATCTAAATGATAATCCTGATGATAATGAACTCTTTCTATAATGATAATACTGGCATAATAAATTTTAAAATGGGAAAATTTTCATAGATTGCTGTGATTACTTTTTCTATACTTCCATATTGATGATGAACTCCTTGCATTATGATAGCTCCAACTTTATGGTATCTTCAAAACTTGTTAGATAGATAAATCAGGTTTCCACCACTAAACATCAAATTTGTATTGTGAAACATCACATTTATTTTGTGGCCTTCTTGTTTAACATCAAAGTTGCGATGGGAACTAGCTCGGAAAAGGCATCAATGATGAGATACCAAGAAAGTCGTGATGAGTACTTGTGGAGAAAGGAAGGATGGTACCATTAAAATTTGAAGCTGAAAAGGAGTTTGTGAGGCTTGTGATGTTTGAAGAAAAAAAGGAGTTCCTGAGACTCGTTGTAGAAAGCATATGGAATTGGACTTCGGATGGGGAATTCGATTTATTATTATGTGGGATTTAATCAATTTCTTGCAAGCAAAAGGGTTGAGCTTTGTTATGCTCAAAATAAAACTCATATAATATATAAGCAATAATCTTAACAAAAGCTCGATCTTCTAGCTTGATAAGCTTGCCTCATTTGAGCTCCTTTACGAGTTGAGATCGAGCTGGCTGGTGAGCCCGCTTGATATTTATATACCATAGTTTGAATGACTAAATTTGCATAAATGAATGGAAATATGCTAAAAAATGTTGATAGAAATTTTTAGCACTGACCGCTCTTTTATTTATATGTTGAGGTATTTACATACATACCACACATTTCTTATGTATTCACTTATCTAACACCTAAACTCTTACTTTACATTTATGTCACCCAAGTCTTTCATATCACATAAAAAAAATACTATCATTTTAACTTTTAAAAAGTAATCTACCTCACATGCGCAAGGTAGTGTCGTGTATCTAAAAATTGAAGTTTAGGTGTTAGATATGTAAATACATAAGAATTGAGGGGTATGTATATAAAGTTTCCTTAATTGTTTTAGGAATATGAGGTCAAATATTTTCTAAATAGAGTTCTTTTAATTTGCAGGGAAGATGGTTCGTCGGAGGTTCAACTAGGTGAGACACATGTTATTGGTTTTGTCAGTGGTCAAGTTGTCCAACCTTATAGTGATCGACCCAATGAAGGGACACTTGCAATATTTACTGAATTTTCACCAATGGCTGATCCTGCTTTTGAGCCGGGGCGGCCTGGGGAGTTTGCAGTTGAACTTGGGCGATTAATAGATCGTGGTCTGAGGTAATTTATGTCCTTGTACTTAGCAAAAATATATTTTTGGTTACATAAAACCATACAATTCTCATGTAGTTTAACAAGTCTAACGCCTAAACTCTTATATTTACAAGTTTGCCACTTAAGTATTTAATATCACATCAAAAATACTACAATCACCATCTTTTTAAAAGTGAAATAAACCTCTTCAATCATAGCTTTTTGACACAACGGTGTTATGAGGGTAAATATCAAGCTTTTGTTGTTAGATATGTAAATACATAAAAATTATGTGGAATGTCTGTAAATTTCCCTATATTTTTTCGTTCTGTGCCTTTTTTGTAACAGTTTATGCTGATTACAGCTCATTTTCTAACCAATTAAAGGTGCGCTGCAGGGAAAGCAGGGCCGTGGATATGGAATCCTTATGCATTGTTGCTGGGAAGTGGGTGTGGGCATTACGTGTAGACCTTCACATTCTTGACAATGGAGGGTATTTCTTTTCGTACTTAATTTTGCACTCATATTATGTACTTATTAAGGCGTGTGCACTTTTCATTGTTTTGGTATTGTGGTTACTAGTTTTTATTTATGTTAAAATGGCGTTGAACTTCAGTCATTGCAAGTCACTTTTTTTCAATCTTCTTCATATGATTAGGTTTTATATTTTTATGAATTAATTATGTTATACTTCTCTCTTATTTTTTATTGGTAGCCATATGCCTATCTTTTTCATACGATCATTTCTATTTTTTATGACCTACTTATTCTAATCTTTCCTTTTCATTTTAAAGTTGGCCAAGTACCTATCTTGTCAGTTTTAACGTTTTCTTTTGGCTAAGATTTTTTTTTCTGAATTTAACTCGTGTACAATTCCTTGACCATCTACACTTCCTGTGTGATTAATAATTTTATAATGTGTGCTCTATTATTGTTTTATGTTAATTGTCATGCTTATTTTGACTTGGACAGAAATGATATGAAGTGTTTTATTCTTATTATAGAGTCAAAATGAGAAAAAATATTAAGATTTATGCAGATCATAAGTTTTAGTTCTTAAATACTGTGCGTTTTGCATCTTGAGTATTGGATTGTATAGGCCATGAATTTGGATTCAATAGATTTCAGATGCCAGTATCATATGTTATGCAAAAATGCCTCATTAATTATGCATTTTTAGAAATTGTTGCATGGTTAAGATGTGTGCCACTCCTTGTATTTTGCCACAGCTCATTTCCTTGCCGCCTTGCCTTTATGAACATTGTTTGTAGCTATCATATATTTCATCTTCATTGGTTGACTAACAGGAACCTCATTGACACTGCCAATATTGCTGCCCTGGCTGCTCTCTTGACCTATCGAAAGCCTGAATGTACGTTGGGAGGCGAAAATGATCAGGAAGTTGTCATTCATGATCCTGAGGTTACTACCCACCAGTATAATTGAATTTCTAGTTCACGAATTACCTATTCCATTGGATCTATGCAATCTTTAAAATGTGATTTTTTTGAATTGATCAAAATAATTGTTTTTGTGGAAATTTATATTTTTCTTAAGTTGTGCATGTTATTTTAGGTTTATTAAATTTCAACGAACATTTTATTTACTTATTTATTTTCATGATCTTTCCAGGTTAGGGAACCACTGCCTTTGATAATACATCATATTCCTGTTGCAGTAACGTTTGCTTTCTTCAATGAAGGTGATGCTATGGTATGATTACCTAAATGCATTGTTTCAATTCTTAATTGCTAAGGGCTCGTTTGGTATCACTTTTATTTTTTATTTTTATTTTTATTTTTTCTTTTATTTTTAAAAACATGCTTCCGTGATATTATTTTTTATATGTTTTTATTTTTTATTTTTAAAATAAAATTACTTGTTTATACAAACAGTCAAAACAACTAGAAGATCTTTTGAACCTTCTTTAAAAATATTTAATTTTTTATTTTTTAAAAAAATATTGGTTTTTAAAAATACTTAAAATACCTAAAAGAAATTTTAAATTTTTAAAAAAATAGCTATATAAACAAATATGTTTTAATTTAAATCAAAACATAAACAAAATAAATAAAAAATAAAAAATAAAATTAAAATATAGAAGTGATCCCAAACGGCTCCTAACCATCTTATTTCTGTTTGTTCATATTTTTTCTTTTGTTTTATCCTGCTGCAATTTCTTTCGTGTTGTGCTCTGCAGGTTATTGATCCAACTTATAAGGAAGAGGCTATCATGGGGGGTCGGATGACTGCTACATTAAACTCAAATGGTGATGTTTGTGCCGTGCAAAAAGCTGGAGGAGATGGTGTCTCAGCTAACGTTATCACTCATTGTTTGCGGCTTGCAGCTTTAAAAGCTGTTGATATAACTGATAAAATTAAAAAGGCGGTGAGTCCGATGTCTTGATGCAGCCCCATGTCTAGATGCAGCATACCCTTTATTCTGTTGAATCAGTGTTATTATTTTGATGTGCATTTACATACATAGTGGTTCTGGAGCTAACCAAACAAGAATACAAAAATCAAATATTATTGCTGAATTTAAATAAGAAATTACAACCACACAAATGGAAATAGGAAAAAACACCACCACCACACAAACTTACAAGAGGGGGTCGATCTAGGAGTGTTGTTGGTCGGTTATGGGGTTTTGAAGGGCAGTAAGAGGCTGGAATGATGGTATGTGCGTTGGTGGGTGGCAGTAGTAACAACAAGGGGGTTTTGGGGTTGTAGTTTGGGAGCGGTAGCAAGTGCAGAGCGGCTGGGCAGCAGGCAGATAGATCAAAACAGCAGCAATTTGCTGTTGGGGCAGCTGCTGGATGGAATGCAGGTTCTGTAAGGTAGTAGCAGGTTGGATGGCTTGTTCTGGAAGGTGGGAACAACAGCTAGGCTAAGGGGAGGCAGTTTAGGGTGGCTGGAACTGTAGTTCGGTGGTAAGGAGGTGTTTCTGGTGGTTGAAACGACAGCAAGACTAGGGGTGTAAACGAACCGAACACGAACGAACAGTGGTCGTGTTCGTGTTCGGTTTGTTTGAAATATAGTTTGTTTGAAATATGCTCGTGTTCGAAATTGTTCGTGAATGGTCAGTTCGTGTTCGGTTTGAATTGTTCGGAATTGTTCGAATTGTTCGAATCGTTCGAATTCGAAATGTCGAGATGTTCGAAATGTTCGAAATGTTCGAAATGTCCGAAATATTTGAAAATTTTCAAAATTGTATATATTTTTGCAATTGTTAAATAGACAACAACTTAAATATTAATTCTCATATCTTTTAAAAAATTGAATTACATCAATTTATCTTTTAAAAATTAAAATGCATCTTCATAAAATATATAAGAAATAATAATTACTTCTCAAACTACAAAAAAAAAAAAATAACGAACTTCAATAAAATTATTCAATGTCTAAAAAATCATTACATCATTACATCCAATAATTCAAAAACTTTGCCTCCTTGTGTTTTAACTTCTGAAAAGGTGGGAGTATCATGCAATGTGGTACAATTTACTTCACAAGAAACTAGCCTACTTTCCATTTGACGCTGCTGCTTTTTCTGACTTTTTGAATGCGCTTCCCTTTCTTTAACATGTCTAGGTATATCATCTCTTCCTAAAAGAGAAAAAAATAACAGTAACGTTTACTCTATTTGATATGAGATGAACTTAAAGTGTGTAGCTACCTATTGACAATACTCACTCTGTTTTTCTATATCATCATCAAGCAGCTCACTAAGGCATTTCAACGCATGAATTTGTTCATTCGCACAACTTGTATTAGATTTTTCGTCAAACCATGGAGCTGAAGTTTTTTCACTCTGGTTGCCACATTTGTCTGTCATCATAAACACCCAATACCTGGTTAAGCCTTTTTTAACATTCCAGAATAGTCATATCTTGTTTGGGAAGCACATCAAATTAAATGATGGATGAAAACCAAAAAATAAAAGATTGATAACATTGACCTGTTGTTTTATTTGTATCATCTTTGAGAAGCTCAGGACCAGACTCAATATGTGAAAGGCCTTTAGCAGTGGTTGCTACATAACCAGCTTCCTTCTTGTCTGATTTCTTCACTTGATTTCAGATTCAAAAGCTTTACTAGCAGCAGAGAAATAATCACAGTTGGAAGGTAGCTCAACTTCCTGAACAATAATCTCAGGAAATCTTGCGAGTCTTCCTTCAAATTCATTTCTTTCTTTAGAATCAGAGGGCATGACAAGCATAACTTCTTTTCCCACCCATTTGTATATAGAAAAATGAAACAGCAATGTGCAGACATAATAAATTTGAGGCTAATTGTTTTGAAGAAAATGTGATCTCCAATATTTCAGTATTTCATGAAATGATATAAGAAAATGTTAGCTAATAGAAATACAACTTGCTCAATCCTGACATTCATATTCGCATCCAAAGTTATTTCCAAGATTCAACTCCAAACAACTTCAACCAAAGTAATGTATAAGCAAAGACTGAAATTAAGAAGCAAAACTGAAAAGCAATAGCAGGTTGCCATTAATCTCAACTTTAGCAGGTTGTCATTAATCTCAGCAATAGCAAAGCTGAAAAACAATAGCAATAGCAATAGCAATCTTCAACCACTGATAGCCTTCTAATTCTTTTAAACAAGGGAAAATTTATACCATGAAATAAAGTAAGTTGCTCATCCACCACTTTTTCATTGTTATTGCTAATTATACTTCAACCAAAATAATTTCCAAAGTAATGTATACGCAACTTTTAAACCAAAGTGTAGCAGGTTGATATCACTTTTCCAAAGAAATAACTTATAAAACAAAGTTATTTCCAATATTCAACTCCAAACAACTTCAACCAAAGTAATATATAAGCAAACACTGAAATTAAGAAGCAAAGCTGAAAAGCAATAGCAGGTTGCCATTAATCTCAGCAATAGCACTGAAAGGAATGAAAAATCTGATCTTAATGTAACAGCACTGAAAGGAATGAAAGGAATGAATCTCAGCAGGTTGCCATTAATCTCAGCAATAGCACTGAAAGGAATGAAAAATCTGATCTTAATGTAACAACACTGAAAGGAATGAATCTCAGTAGATTGCCATTAATCTCAGCAATAGCACTGAAAGGAATGAAAAATCTGAAAGGAACGAACAACATTAATCTTAATTAGTTTCTCTCTCTCTATATGTAACAACCATTAATTAAGCAAAGCTGAAAAGCAAAGACTGAAATCTAGAGGTCACCGTAAACTGAAAAACTGAAAAACTGAACAGCCATTAATCTCAGGCTTTCTTATTACCCTAATATGTGTATGAGTATGGGGTTGCCATCTAACAAGTAGAGGCCTTCCATCCATTCCCATTGCCATAGCAGAACTAATCCCATCCAAACAGCCACATACCAGCAAATGTCTCATTTGTTCTAATTATCCAAGACCCATTGAGAATGAAATCCTAAATGATTGTATACAGAAAAAAGAATTTGTGCAGTAGAAATTAAGAACCATAAAACCACTGAAAGGAATGAAAAAAAATCCATCCATTCCCACTGCCAGTATCCCATCCAGGCTGCCAGCATCACCATAAACTGAAAAACAGAAAAACTGAACAACCATTAATCTCAGGCTTTCTTATTACCCTACCATGTGTATGAGTATGGGGTTGCCATCTAACAAGTAGAGGCCTTCCATCCATTCCCATTGCCATAGCAGAACAAATTAAGGGACTTCCCAAGCTGCGCAAAGGAAAAAATCCAGGCCTTCCATCTCTCTATAATAAATCTTTCTCCCTTTTCTAATATATGATATGTATAAGGATATAATAAAATCCTTCAAAGGAAAAAGAAATAATCTTGACTAGGTGTGATACTTCATTGTAAACATACCATCTTCTTAATATTTTATATATTTTCAAAACTATTTATTTTTCCCTTAATAAATAAATGAAAAAAAATCACAACTTTTTATTAGCAAAACATCATTTTATCATAAAAGGAGAGGCAATATAGCTTGTAATGTCATCAAAGTGATTTTTTTCACGAATAAAAGCTTCCAAATATCACTCATGACATTCGTTATAGGCTACTAATTAGTGTTTCCCAAATGATGGTGGTGTCTAAAACACTTTCTTAGAAAAGTGGCCATGAACTTGACAATATGAGTTCTAGATACCACTCTTTTTAAAAAGTACATGATATTTACATCTCAGCTAAAAACCCTAGCAACTAATAACATTCCTTTATATATGATATTTACATTCATATATTTTTAGGATCATAGAAAATATGAATCTCTAATTCACCCTGAACTTCAGGAGGCAAAAAGTTGAGTAACTTTTGTCTCTTGTTTGATAAGTCAACTTGTTGTTGACTATTCGCTTTTATCTTAGCACATTCTTTAACATGCCTAAGGAGCTGCGAGGTTGTACCTGACTTTGGTTTGAGGATTTTCACCCCACAACAAATGCATTGAACATATGATACGTCAACCCCCTTTGAATTTGATTTAATATCTATAAAATACTCTCAAACAACTGATTTTCCCTTCCTCCCTTTCGTACCTTGTGCTTCAGTACTAGTGCTTCCAACAGTCTGTTCAATAGGTTGAGAACTATCGATTCCTTCTTGTGTTGCAAGTGGCAATTGTTCGTCATTTGAGACAGATTGAGAATGTTCAACATTTGACATTATAAATATCTACAGGAAAATGAATGGTGTCAAAAAGCATTGAATATTTAATGTCTTGAAAACAACACTTTAAAGGAGTGCTCAAAAACAGCCCTAAAACACTGTTTT